GCGATCCTGTCATGAGGAATATATCATCGGCAAATCGAAGTGATGCACACTCCATTGATGTTAATACCATATCCTTTCCAATCCAGTAGCTTGAAAGCGCCTTCCAATACAGCGACGAAGAGTTTCGGGGATATAACGTCATCCCGTTATACATCTCTCTGCCGTTGGGTAGGTTTCGTACTCTGGTTCTGTACTTGATTAGCCGTCGTAGCCGTACTGTGCAAACACTTCAGCACTTCGATGGTCCGAACCGGTACCGAAAGTCAACTTAGAACCTCTGAAAGGACTGTAGCAACGCCTAAATTTCGACGGAATCAAAGGCTTTCTCATAATCCACATACGCAAGACAAAGTGGTAAATCGTACTCTTTGATCTGCTGTACAATTTTCCGAAGGGTATGTATGTGGTCTGTAGTGCTAAAGCCTTTTCGGAAACCGGCTTGTTCGGGAGGCTGGAAGTCATTGAGTCTGTAGTTTTTTAAGAGAGCGTTGTCGCCTTTCTTGAAGAACAAGACCGCCGCACTTCTGCTCCACGCCTCCGGGGTAGTGCCAACATGGACGGAATTAAAGAGCTTCTGAAGAACTTCAAGTACTAGTTTTCCCACCCGCTTTCAAAAGCTCCGGTGTAATTCCATCCTCGAACGGGGCCTTGCCGTTTGTAAGGTGCTGGAGGGCCATTCTAATCTCGCTCAGACTGACTTCCCGGATATCATCGGAATAGTGTCGTATAAGACTTGCTCTTGGACTGTTACTCATACTTGCGTGTGGCTCCGTCAATGACGTGTACTGCTGCCCATAGAACCTCTCAATCTGACTCAAAATCTCAGGTGTGCCGGAAACGATGCTGATACCATTAGTCTTCAGCTCCGATAGTTGGCAAGACTTTGGAGCCCTGGTTCTTCGATGGCTCGATCGCATCAACTTACCATCAAGTGGACTGTGTTCGTTTATCAGCTTTGTAAAAAAAAAACACGCAACGACTTTCCTTATGAAACCTAGGTACTTATAAATCCATCTTATCTTAATAGTTGCGTTGCATTGCCTGCTTTTCTTGCTTCCGTGCATAGTGTCAGTGACTTATGTAACATAATTTTAAATAATAAAGTAGACCTATGCTTTGCTACGGAGGCAGGGCAGACAAAGCGAATAATTTCCATAGTGACCAAGATCAGGCACGCCTTCTAGCTTTTTCGACTAAGGAATCTAGTCACTGGTTACACGCTTTACCATCAAGTAATCTCGGCACGTTACTTGATGGGGAAAGCTTGCGCATTGCCGTAGGAATCCGACTAGGAGCGTCGATTTGTCAACCCCATCAGTGCCCCTGTGGTAGCAGCGTCGACAAGTTTTGGCTCCACGGACTTTCATGTAAGAAAAGCGCTGGTAGGTTTTCACGACACAGTTCTTTGAACGATATCGTCCGAAGGGCTCTTGTCTCTATAAATATTCCCTCGGTTTTAGAGCCTTGTGGAATATTTAGAGACGATGGCAGGAGACCCGACGGTATGACATTGGTCCCTTGGGAGAGAGGTTAAACCCTAGTGTGGGATGCTACTTGCGTGGACACTCTGGCGGCCTCTCATCTCAGGGGTACCTCGTTTAGAGCCGGGGCGGCATCAGAGATAGCTGAACTGGGTAAGTGGCGCAAATACGAGTCTCTGAGAGTAGACTACATATTTGTGCCATTTGCTGTAGAGACTATCGATCCGTGGGGTCCACGTGCGGTGAAGTTCCTAAAGGAACTCCATCCGCGGCTGGTCGTTGCTGCTGGTGATAAGAGGGCTGGTTCTTTTCTCGCTCAAAGGCTAAGTATAGCCATTCAGCGGGGAAACGCAGTCAGCGTTCTTGGCACGATACCGCGGGGAGTAGGACTATATGATAATTAAGTTTCTAGTTTTAGTTTTTTTTTTATTATTATAGTTTGTAATATTGTATATAATGAAAAATGTATTAAATTACTTGTACAATATCTTAATATCAAAATAAACAAACTGTTGGAAATGAGCCTATCCATAGTAGGGAGAATTTTTTTAGTGCTTTTTATAGCTGGGCAGCATGGAGACTTATAAAAATACTCTGTTTACATAAATAAAATGAAAATAAATCAAGTACAATTTTAGTAATATCAGGTGTTTACCTATAAAATTGCCGTTTTTTATGAAATAAGTTAGTGTAATTTTTTTTCTATATTTTTTTATTTCTATTAATCAAAGTAATCACCTATGCAATCGATGTATCTTTGACAACGATTATTATGATTATTGATGCCCTTCTTGAACAAATCAGCTGGACAGTAGGCAACAAATTCTTCAAAGGCATTTTGTACTACCTCTCGAGAATTGAATATTTTAGACGTACGAGCTTCTTCATCGATGTGTTCAGTTCTTCACAGTATACATCTGCAGTCTCGTTTGGTAAGAAGATGTGATGAATTACACCGACGCTAGACACCAAACAGTGACTATCACTTTTCTAGGGGTAAGTTTTTGTTCAGAGCATTGTTTAGGTGCTAAACCAGAATCCAACAAACTAGCTGAGCGCTTGCGATTGTCATCCAGAATCCATTTTTCGTTGCAGGTACGAGGGGCACACTGAAATAATCGAGAATAAGAAAAACCACATGCACGGTATAGCTAAATTGTATTTTATTGTTTTTCGAAGTATTCTCTGTTCAACTTAATGCACTTTTCCATTCGTGCAAACCAATCATTAAAACAGTAATTCTAGTCTGAAGTTGATGTTGACAAAATGGCTGATATGTACGCTTCCACAGCTGCTTCGGGGTCTTCAAACCGTTGACCGCGTAATAAATCTTTCGTTCTAGGGAATGTAAAGAAATTGTTTGAGCTCAGGACAGGAATGTACGGCGGATGGCTCATCAGCTCAACGTTTTCCTGCTTCAAAAAATCATTTGTCTTCCGAGCAGTATGAGAGCTCGCATTATCGTGATGTAAGATGATGCGACGTTTCGGATTATTTTTTCAGAGTTCGGCTATGATTTCTGGCAAACAAACCGTGATATACCACTCAGCGGTAACCGTTCTGCGTTCCTGTAAAGGAATTGTAACAACATGCCCCTTTTTCGAGACAAACGTAGCGACCATTTTCTTTGACACGCTGCGGGAGCGAACCACTTTCGTTGGTTTGACCTCGTCTTCGAAGACCCAAACTGCTGACTGATGTTTTCTTTCAGGTTCGTATGAATAAATCCATCATTCGTCACGACGATATTATAAACGGCATTTGACTTCCCTCCGTTGGAGCGTTGCACGTGTATTCCGGCATCAATCTACACCCAGCGGGAAACTAGCTTTCTTACACACAGCTCATTATGTAATATCGACTGAATTGCAGTCATTCCGATACTGATAACAGCCCGAATCTGCTCGTATGTCACATGACGGTCATCTAATATGCGTCATAAATATAGCTGCGATGTTTTCAGGCGTGACCGCTGTTCTTGGTCGACCTGCAGAAGAAACAGTGCTGAGCGACACACGACCGCGTCGGAACTCGGCATACCAGCGGTCATTGAGTTATATGTACTACATACTAGAGAAGCCATTCCGAACATTGACTATGTTCAACTCGACTGTACTGCAATCCGTACAAACTAAATATTGCGTAAATTGAAGATTTGTGAATAAAATAATTATTATTACATTTTATTTAGAAATATGTTTGCTTAGATTAAATTAAGATATTTTATAATAAATTCTTATATTTATTTTGTATTAATATCTTATTTTACATCAAATTAAAGTCTTCGCACATGCGCGACTACTACTCCCGCGCATGAGCGAACACATAAAGTAGGACACAATTTTTGTTTGGAATGGCTTCTCTAGTACGTAGTACATATAACTCAATGCCAGCGGTATATTGTCGTTTGACTCGGTGCTTCAATATCATAAATCGAAACAAGTTCGCTGAGACATTTATCTTGAGATAAGCCGCGACGAAAATTGTGATAAATTATGGCACGGAAATGTTCATTTCTATTAACGACGTGTCAACTTTAAACCAACATAGTTTTTGTTTCTAAACATTTTTTTTAATTGTCTGAATGTCATTAAGATTCTAAGAGGCCAGTATTCAAATTCTAAAAAAGGTTTTATTGTAACTCAATCCGAAATATTCTATTCCCGATCATTTCAGTGTGCCCCTCGTAACAATATTCCAAATTCCTTCGTTTATGTGCCGGTGGAGCAGTGCAAGGCACGTCTCGGCGCGTACTTCGCTCTGGCGATCATTGGGTTCGTGGGGTAACCATTTGTTAAGCTTTCTTATATTGTCAATTTGACGCAAACGGGCCAATATTGTTTTGATAAACGGACCAATATTGTGTTGATACTGACGTGGAAAGCTGCTGCTAATTCAGCTGTAGATTGAGTATATCAGCTTCCACAATCGCCTTTAATTCGTCATCGTCGACCAGTTTTCGGACGACCATGGGATTCAATTTTCAAGTCGAAATTTCCAGAATGAAAGCGGGCAAATCAATAACAGGTGTGCCTGTTTGTTTGTAGTATTCGCTCCGTAAACGTTGATGATATTGCGTGCCGCTTGTACCGCGTTGCTGCCACGACGGTACTCATATTCCATAATTACTCAAATTTTTAACGTATCCATGATGACGAAAAGTATTCAAATGCTATGAAAACATAATGCTAATCAATAAACAAATGACTAATTTTGAAAATAGAATTCCATTTTTTTTTAATTTAATTAAAATTATAATTCTTAGCAAAACAAAAATTATTTAGATTTGAAATGGCCAGTACTGCAGAACAGCAATTTCATAGGATAAAGACCTATCATATTTCTACTAATTATCTTTTTTTAACGTCAAAGCACCCGTAAATAAAAAGCTAAGTAAAGTAAACTAATTTTTATTTCAGAAAATTTTCAATCGACGCGTCAAGTCAACATTTTTTAATTTTTACTATGCAAATGTCGACTAAATTTCTCTGGCCTTACAATACTTTTTGTTTTCCTGTGTCATTTCGCATTTTTAAGCGCTTCAGAGGCCTCAGTCTGCATTAGACCCTCCATAATGTAGATTAAATTCTCGACAGAGGCGTCTTCATCGTCATCGAACCAGAGTTGGAGCATGTTCTTCGCCCTTGCCGCATCTGTCGCGTTCTCCGTCTCGAAGAACTGTATCTCGTCTTGTTTGTAGCCAAGTTTCGCGGCAAGTTTCTTCCAGTCGGCGAGTTTCGCGGCGACCAAGTCCAATTGGGCCGGTGTGATCATTGTGATGCGGGAACGTGACGATTTGTCTTCGTCCTCGCCGCCGTGGGTAGAATCCGGCACCTGGAAAGTGGATTGAATAAGTCATCATTGCGGCCCTTTGAGTCTATTGCTATTGTTAGAAAATAAATGAAACTATTTCATCGCGTGTATGTCGCACAAGAGTCGTTAAAGGGAATTTCCGACATATGATAGAATAACCTGAATATATATGCCACTCAAAATACACTGATTGGTCACTGGCAACAGCGTAAGGCGTCGTTCTAATACAACGCGAATGCGCGATCATCGCAAGTTCGCGCGAATTTTACTCGTACGAACACGCGATCAAACATACTGATTCCCGCGACTTAATTGTTTGAAAATCTATTCGCGCGAACTTAGTTCGTACGAACGCGCGATCTAACATATTGCTGTCGAATAGGTGTCCTTATTTACATTAGCGCGACAATCGCGTCGTGTCGTCGGGCAGCGGGGTGAAGGGCAGGGGCCCGATTTATTGATTGTGAAATTCACCACGTATCGGTCTCATTTCCAACAAAGCACATTGCGACCCATTTCGTTTTTTTGATTGCTGTCAAGACCAGCAGAATAGGTCATATATATAAATATATATATATATATATATATATATATATATATATATATATATCTGACATCCATGCTTAGCGCCAATGCCATGTGCAAACTGCGAAGCGATGATCGCGTAATCGCGTTGTATTAGGACGACGCCTCAAAGGCGCGAAGCGCGAAGCTTTTTGTACGTGGTAGAGCCATGCTGCAGCTATATTAGTAGTATAGTTGTAGCACGAATGGGTCGGCTTAACCGGAGTAGGACTACGTTCTCACGGAATACCAGCGTAAAATAGCAGCTTAACACTGCTGTGTTTCGTATGGTGAGTGTAGAGAACCGGAGACTCTTTTTACTTGAAAAGAGGCAATCCATCTTGGTCCTCACGGGTGACAACGCATCTGCATTTTGATTCGCAAATGAGGATAGATGTAGATGTCTATGGGCCACACCAACCACTTACCATCAGGTTGACTGTGTGCTCATTTTTCACCCTTATCCTCTATAAAGAAAAAACATTTTTATTGTTGATTAGTATAAAAACAAAAAAAAAATTATATTTATTTGAAGTTTGTAGATTGGCGAACTGAGATCTCTTGGTGGGATTATTTTTTTAAGGGTTAGAATGTACCTGTTCAATGTCGTTTGCATCAGCACCCTTGATGAGATCCGCTTCCATCTGCTCCTCAGTAACCTCCTCTTCGGGCGGCTCCTGAAATGAAATATGATATCACCACATGAAAGTGAAAATGAAATTTCTAAGAGATTTTTTTAAATAAATTATATAAATACTTCACATAATATCGCAATGATCTGCTAGACTGGTACCTGAATTCAGAAGTGATTTTTAAAAAAGTTATATAACATATTACAGTTTTTTTCACGTGGTAGAGTCATGCTGCAGCTATATTATTGGTATAGTTGCAGCACGAATGGGTCGGCTCGACCGGGGAAGGACCACGCTCTCAGAGACTACCAGTGTAAAATAGCAGCTTAACGCTGCTGTTTCGTATGGTGAGTGTAGAGAACCGGAGACCCTTTTTACTGGAAACGAGGCACTCCATCTTAGTCCTCATGGGTGACAACGTATTTTGATTCGTAATCGCGGATAGATGTAGTAGTCTATGGGCCACAGCAACCACTTACCATCAGGTGGACAGTGTGCTCGTTTGTCACCCATATCCTATAAAAAAAGTCAAAACTGTTTTCCGGTCATAAATAGTTTTGATGGACGAAAGCAGTCAAAATTAATTTTGACCGAACCTGCAATCGGATGGCGGACCGCGAACTCAAAAGTCATGGGTTCGAATCCGCCATTGGCCTACAGTCGTGAACTACTCCTAACACAAGCATTTTAAGCTTACCTGTAGTGGTTAACCAGAATATAACTAAGGTTAATAATAGATAGTATTTAAAAAAATGTTACCGGTGAAACCAGATTTTAGGAAAAACTAGTGTATAGTGTATACTAGACTAAACAAGTTTTTTCCGATAAGTACAACTAGATACCCGCAGTTTAGGCGTGGCCCAAGGGCGAATCCGGCTGCACCTCAACCTACTGTCACTGATATTTGTAAAAGTAATAAAAATAGTTGCGTCATGTTTTCCTTCACCACCGAGAATATGGTACATGTAGTTGAACGTCATCTAATTCATACTTGTAATAAAAACAGTTGTAGGTTCACAAACAATCAACGGTTTTTTTAATTAGTTCGTTACTTATACTTGGCTACTACATCGAAGATCCAGATTTCGAATACCGAATGACCACAAATCCTCACAGATGATACACGTGAAGCGAAATTAAATAACATCCTAATTTCAATAGAAAAGGAGGCTGGGTACTACCACCTGCTTGGGATCCTGTAAAAAATAAAATTAAACCTAAACCCGCGTATTCCGCTGCAAGATTTCAAGAGATAGTAAGCTCATTCTACGTAGATGCAGACCAAAAGTAATTAAAAAGCTGAAGGTACTCCGGGTTAACTTTTACATCGGGACGTCAATCACCTCAGTCCCCTCGTGACCATGGGTGGTACAAAGCACCAAGCAAAATTAATAGTTTTATTCAATATTTATATACCTGTTTCGTCGATTTATCATTGTGGTTATTAGACGCTTCCCCGTTGGAATTGTTTGCAGCGGCGTTCGCAGCCACCTCACGGGCAACGCGTTTCACCTGTTTAAACATTATGATTATAATCTCCAGCAAAATACATGCAAATGGCGTTAGTTCCTTGTCCAAAATAACTTTCTTACTTGGAAAATTTTAAAACGTAAAAATATACGGCCATAGTCATAAAAATCGAAGTCAATTTAAGAAATGCTCTCTCTATCTCTCTCTACACTAAATAAAAATAGAAAAAGAGAGGTATAGAGACAGAAAATACTATTTTTAAAGTAAGCGATGACCAATACCAAAATAAGTAACGCCCTATATCTTTATATTGAAAAGAAAGACTAAACAAGTATTGCGACACTAGCGAAAGTAGCAAATTCTAATGTATGATGCATAATTTATTAATAATTGTGTGAACTACCTAATGAAGAACCGAAAACCGATGGGGAAGAAAGGTTCTCGAGTGGCAGCCTCGTACCGGTAGGCGAAGTGTAGGGCGACCCCCCACTAGATGGAGTGACGACCTGGTAAGACATGCAGGAAGTCATTGGATGCAAGTGGCTCAGGACCGTGCTTTGTGGCATTCCTTGGGGGAGGCCTATGTTCAGCAGTGGACTTATGAAAGGCTGTAATGATGAACTACCTAATGGATATTTGTCTTGTTTATCTTTCATCTTCAGTCCTGCCGATGCTTTTATTTCAAAATCTTCATGATGGTAAGTGGTAGTGCGGTCCATGACACTTGCAACTCCATCAAATATATCCTTTAAACAGGTAAGTGGATGTTACCAATCCAGATGAATGCCGAACCAAGAAGGAGCTTCTATTATTTAGTAAAACGTAAAAAATATGAAAACGACTGCTATTGCTTATTTTTTAATTTGTGATTTGAGTTCGGTATTTTTGGATGAATGTTTCGCTATTATCGGTTCTCGAACCTTGAATGGAAATTGAATGGTAGGATGGTACGTGAACTGTTGAGTTTTGGTCTAAATGGTATAAAGAGCCAGTAGATCCAGGCTATGAGACATTTTATCTTAGTCCTCAGAGGTGAAAACGCCACGACAGCCATCTTTGTTTGGTTGCAGGTGTCCAAGCACTGCTGTAGCCACTCACTATCATATTAACTGTCAGTTCGTTTGTCACTTGAATTTTATAAAAAAGGTGAGATTGTCATTTGGACATAAAGTTGGGTCCTCCCACTTCTAGAAGTGTGAACGTAAATTTTATATTTTAAATTTAAAACAAATGTTCGTGAATTCCTGCTTCACTGTAATAATTGATTTTTGCTTGTTACTCGTGTAAGCATTAAATAGAGTAACCCACACCATCATTAAAAAAATACTACCTATGATGTATTAATTTGAATTTGCTACTTTCCGTATTGTTTCAAAACTATGAAAAATGTCTTGGTTTGAACTTAAATAAAAATTTATTATTTAAAATTATGCAGGGTGACAGTATGAATCTTGCAATTTCTATAGAAATATTTTATAGTCCAGTAAGTGGATGCTGTGGCCATAGACATCAATTTTCGATTAAGAATCAAAATGCCTCGGTTTCCATAAAAAGTGTCTTCAGTTCTCAACACTCGAAACACAGTAGCATTAAGCTGTTATTAAAAAAAATACGCCTTTCTGAAAAATTTTCAACGTGGTAGAGCCTAATGCCGCTTGTGGGACCACGCTCTCACAGAATACCAGCTTGAAACAGTAAAATAATATAATGCTACTGTATTTCATATGGTAAGTGCAGAAAACCGGAGACCCTTTTTACTGGTAACGAGGTATTCCATCTTTATCCTCAGCGGTCACAATGCATTTGCATTTTGATTCTTAATCAATAATAGATGTAGATGTTTATTGGCCATAGCATTCATTTATCATCAGGTGGATTGTGTGCTTGTTTGTCACCTTTATTCTATAAAAAAAAGCGAGTTGCGGAATGAAATGAATGTAGGTGTCTCTCACCATCTGACAACCAGACCCCCGGCCAGTCTCCACCCTTTCGTTGACTTGTCAAGTATTCGAACCAAACGGTTTGCTATATCGTTCGTCATGCGTGTACAGCAAAGGAGTGGAATAAGTTGTCAGCATCTGTCTATTCATCCGATTACTACGTAAGTGTCTTCAAGGCAAGAGTGAAGAGGTTTTTGTTAAGTCAGTGCGCTTCACCATTTTTTGCTGAATTACTACTTACCACTGGTGGGATAGTATAGCATAAAAAGGGTACTACACAGATCGGAACAAAATTTAATAATTTTAATTTGAAGGTAGCCGTTGTTAACTAATGACATTGGGACGTTCTCGTTACTATGGGTGCTGGAAAGTACTTGAAACGTCGGGAATATAAAATAAGTCAGTATACACCACAAACCGATAGCGGATAGGGAAGAAAGGTTCTCGAGTGGCAGCCTCGTACCGGTAGACGAAGTGTGAAGCATCCCTCCAACAGATGGAGTGATGAGTTGGTAAGACATGTAAGAATTTGATGACTCAGGACCTGTGCTTTGCGGCATTCCCAGGGGTGAGGCCTATGTTTGGCAGTGCCCTTGTGAAAAATTTGTAATTGTTCGCCAATGTATGTAATACATATGTAAAGTACCGATTCCTGATTTTGATAAATAAGCGTGCACAATACGTCAACTTATTTATACTGAATGAGACCATCTTAACCTAACTTGATATAGTAGTAATTTGTAAATTAGATACGGGAAATATGAATGAGTATTATTTATTTAAAAAATAACTTGTATTTCCTTTTATTTTTTTACCCTCATTCCCAGCAATATTCTATTTCTTTTTTCGGTGCGAGGTGTAGTATATAATATATACACCGGGTTATTTTTCAAAGACCTGCCAAATTTAATAATTAAATTCAAAATATAAATGCTGATATACACTTTTTGAAAAGTACGCGTAAATAAGGTTTCTACATTTATTTCAAAATATCCGAAATTGAATGAACGGAGCTTTTACCTACTATTTAATTCCGTAATGACACGCTCGCTACTTAGTTGATTACTGATAACTGTTATAATAAATAAAATAAACAAAATACATTTCATCGATGGCCGGTTAATGCAAAATAACCCTATATATACATATATCGTTGGCAAAAAATATATAAATTTGTAATGATGATAGTGATGATGATGCGATAAAATCTAGTTTTTTTTTAAAAAAAAGTGGTACCATGTCGTCGAGGTAGTCGGGCAGGCGGCCGATGGGGTTGTTGGTGTGCACGAAGAAGTGCGGCGAGCGGCGCGCCAGCAGCCGCAGCGCGCGCCAGCCCCACCCGCCCGCGCGCCGCGCGCCCCCCGCGCCGCCCGCACCCCCGGACATGTACCCCTCTGCCACAACACACCACTCGTTTATTTACACGTGGTAGCCGTGCTACGGCTATATTACAGTTGTTGCACGAATTGATCAGTTCGAGCGGGGAAGGACCACGCACTCATAGACTACCAACTCATACTCATAGAATTACTGATGTGTTTCATATGGTGAGCGTAGAGAACCAAAGACCCTTTTTTACTGAAAACGAGGCATTCCTACTTAGTACTCAGGGATAATAACAGATCTGCATTTTAACTTTTATTCGAGGATAAATGTAGATGTCTATGGGCCACAGCATCCACTTATTATTTTAAAAGTAAATGTGACGCCCCTGTTTTTGTAAAGAACAATGGCAGACTTTCATACATAAAATTAGTTGAGAAAGAATGGTAGCGTCTATATATCAAAAATATCTTAAAATGTTAAACGTCAGTCCCTTAATTTTTTTTTATAGAATTAGGGTGCCAAACGTGCACACAGTCCACCTGATGGTAAGTGGTTGCTGTGACCCATAGACATCTACATCTATCTTAGTTTGCGAATTAAAATGCAAATGCGTTATCACCCGTGAGGACTATAATTGAATGCCTCTTTTCCAGTAAAAAGGGTCTCTGGTTCTATACACTCACCAAGCGAAACACAGCAGCATTAAGCTGCTATTTCACGCTAGTATTCTGTGAGAACGTAGTCCTTCCCCGGTCGAGCCGACCCATTCGTGCTACAACTATACTATTAATATAGCTGCAACATAGCTCTACCACGTATAAAATTAATAATTCTGTCAAAGAATTTTGTCCTAAGAAGGCGTCAAAAAAAGATATTTAGATTTGAACCTTTTTATGTTATGTCTTATGTCACTTGGAAAAAGTCATGCGTCCTGTGGTTGTTTGATGTTAGCTTAATACATTCTCAATATAATGTACCTGTGAGAGTTTTTAGATTATTGTATCTATAATATTATATATTTGCATAATATAAATGTATATTTCTGGCTTGGCTCCAGGGCATATGTATCATACAGTGACATTCTCAGAAGGACTAGAACTCAGAGCCGTAAAGCCAGTAAAAAAAAGAGTGACATTTTGTTTGAACTAGTGTTGCCATAACATTAAATGCAATTCTTACATAGTATTATGATTGAGATAATGTATTATTATAGGAAGTTCTTTGTAACAGACTTATTTTCAACCATATCACTTTTATTTTTAGTATTACTGATAGTATAGTTATTACTAATAATAACTTAATATAAAAATATTTTGTGTTTGTGTTTTGTGTCGGTAGTCTTACAAAATGTATAAGAAAACAGTATGAATATAGTAAATGGCAACACTTGAATAGAGTAAAATGTTTTAAGTCATTTGATATTCCTAAAAATGTTTGTTTTTTCTGTGGCTTTAATTAAAATACATTTTCATTTGAAAAATCATAGAAAAATAATAAAACTCATTTTATATATAAATTATTTCTAGACGCAATAATTTTTGTCAACTATTTTTCTGCCATTGTTCTTTTATTCAATAATAATAATAATGGGATAGGCCCATGTCAAGCATTTTAAAGTGCTGATCACGATGATAATGATGATGAAGTGACCCACTTCAAGGATTATAAATAGCAAATCTTCTTCATAGTGAAATCTTTTCAATAGTCTGTCAGTCTACTTACTGCTAGGCATGCAGTTTCAACACTTGTAGATAAAATTTACTATAACGGCCAAGCTTCATTGTAATGGACCTTTGACATCGCTACACATTCTCGATCTCACACCGACATCCTACAAGATCTTTCCGACATCTGTCGGTGGGTACGAAATCTTTCTGACATTTCAAACCCTCAGTTGACTGTTACGACACACATGCGAAAGGGGAGAGGAAGGATAGATTCTCTTTGCCAACACTACTTTAGTTTTTTTGTTACAGTATGTTTTAAAATGGACGATAAAGAATTAGATTACAATATTATTATATTTTTCTAATATCTAACACTGGCAAATATAAAAGGCTATAACGACTAATTAACGTTAATATCTATGGTTCTAAAAAGTAATATTACATACCTAATGATGGCATGAAATCTCTCTCCTTGGTCCGACATGCTACTAGGTTATCAGGGCATAGATTCCATAATTTGGTCAACTCATTACTGTAAGAATTAAAATATATAAGATTAAAAAGAAATGTTTTATATATCCAAGAGTAGTCAATGCCATGATGAGGCATCGTAAGAATATCTACAGCCCCGTATCATTATGTCAAAAGGCAACAGAGGTAAATGAAATGGGAGATAGGCAGCAGCATCTTCCTTACAGCTTAAAATAATAAAAACCTATGGTTGCCAACCCGTCTGCCAAGCCGGCAAAACCCCGCAATCCCCCATCAGTCAATCTATGGAGGAGATTGATGGATGGATGTAATGGATTAGATTTCTTTGCAGTTATAACATAAATATCCTTACACATTGTACTTTTAATAGGCTGTAATGAACTTAAATGATGAATTGTAATCAATGTTGTTCAGTGGTAGAGGGAAATCCAACGAGGATTACTAAAAATTTAATGCAAGTGCACTGCTGGGGAAGCTTGGCACAAAGCTAGCTAAAACAAGTGGTTAGTAAATTAAAAAAAATTGTACAACCAACTTCAATATAAATAAAATGAGAACGTCATCAATGTAGTCGAAGTCAATTAAATACGCATTATTGAGTTAAATTTGTATGCGACCACATGAGAAGCACTAGCTTTCAAATAAAAAAGGAATCATCAAAATCGGTTCATGTTGAAAAAGTTCTGAGGTAACACACATAAAAAAAATTGTCGAATTGAGTACCTACTACTTTTTTGAAGTTGGTTAAAAGGAGAGGTTTGTGCTCAGTACTAGAATATTTTTAAACATTTAAATAAAAATATTGATAAAATAATTACTTGATCTATGCATAATTACTCAACTGATTTATGGATGTGAAAGCCATAGCATTGTGCCAGGGTTGTGCCAAATGAAGGCCAATAATCTCAGTCTACCCCTCTGGGTATCAGGCCTGAGAGTTTATGTTAAGTAAAATATTTACATACTTGCCCATGTAGAATTTGTCTTGAGCTTCATATTCTTTAATTATGTCGCCCACAGGTTTCCTTCGCTTCCTTGACTTCTTTACTTCTTCTGTGGAGTCCACTGTCACTGGTGGTTTGGGTTTCTTAAATTCTAGAATATTATAATTGATTAAGATACATCATATAAGATACACCTTAGACTACTCTACTCTTTGGATAAAGGTGACCAACCACCATCCAACAACCAACTCTGATTGATGTCTTAACTACAAAATGGCGGTTGTGATCACGAGATGGACGCAGTGTTGACAGATTTTCACTCGCGAAAAGAATCTGTCTATAATCGATTTTCTACGATTCTTTTAGTCACGTCACTATGTAAAACAGTAAAAATAAAACTATAGAACGTAAACGCAAAACGGCAGTAAAATATTATTATCTTTTAAAGTTTTAATTCTTTTGAGCATGATGTCTAAAAACAATATGTTGATTGTGTCTGTGTGAATTAATTGTATAATGATTTAGATTGATTGTGTATTTTTAAATGATGATTTACGACCATGAACAAAAATTATTATTATTTCAAATTATGCGAAACGTGAAGAGTTACGTTCTAAGAAGTGTTAAAAGGGACTTCATAATTAGTCCACGTGATGAAAAATGGTTACTGCAACCTCCAAACAAACAATACTACAGATGTACTTGTCACCTCTGTGGTCTTCGATGGAGTTCCTCAGTTTGTCTGTTTATAGAAGAGGGGGCAAACGAGCATGCGGCTCACCTGATGGTAAGTGACTACCGCCGCCCATGAACAACTACAACACCAGGGGAATTACAGGTGTGTTGCCGGTCTTTTAGAAAGGAGTAAGCTCTTTTCTTGAAGGTTCGTAAATCGTAACGGTACCGGAAAAATCGCCGGTGGTAAACAACTCCACAGAGAGGTTGTACGAGGAAGAAAACACCTAGCAAAACACACATTGGTGGACCGCCAAGCATCCAGATGGTATGGATGGTATCGTGAGTTATACAACGATGTGCGTTCGTGAAATTTTGCGTCTGGAATTAACCCAAACAATTCCTCAGAGCACGCCCTGTGGTAGATGCGATATAAAATGCAAGGGATACAACATCCCTTTGCAGCACCAGTGAATAGAGTCGATCCTTTGTACAACAAAGTCTCAACTTCAGACACAAGTTTGTTCCGGTACTCGGCGACGTTTTACCCATAAAGGATCACCAGTGCTGCCGTTCGCATGCCAATGAATGTTACTGGTTTGCAACATATCATTGATATACAGAAGAAACAGCATTGGTGATAGCACGCAGCCTTGTGGAACACCAGCATTAATAGGCTTGTTATCGGATCATGCACCGTCTACTATGACCTTGATGCTTCGATCAGCCAGAAAATTGGTGATCCAATTGCACAATTTCTCGGGAAGCCAATAGGAAGGAAGCTTTGAAAGAAGCACTTTGTGCTTTATCAACCGGTTCGAAGGCTTTCGCTATGTCCAAACTAACCAAAGCCTCCCCCTTGGACTCGATCGCCTGCGCCCATCGGTGTGTTAGGTAAACAAGATCACCAGCAGAGCGACCCCAACGGAAACCGTACTGGCGATCACTAATCAGCTGGTGCTCCTCAAGGTACCGCATGAGCTGGCAGTTAATAATGCACTCCATTATTTTCAAGAACAAGGAGGTGATGGCGTTAGGCCTGTAGTTGGACGGATCAAAGCGGTTACCTCTATTAAGGAACGGCACAATACCTAGCGAGTATGAGTAACGGAAAACACGCGTTAGAACCGGTACCAACTCTAGAGCACACGTCCTCAGCACAATGGAGGGAATTCTTTCAGGCCCACACTAATTGTGGATGTCCAGGAAGATGTATGGCGTACTGAGCATTGTTTGAATCGCACATCAGGCATAGAGCACTCACAACGCAAGATGGTCGGCGGTGTGTTCCCCCGTCATCGAGAGTCGAGTGGGACGCAAAAAGGGAGCCTAACAGGTCGACGTGGGCTAGTGAGTCTGAAATTCGCTTGGACAGCCTTGGCGAGAGACCAGAATGCACGGGGTCTCAAAGGAAGACGACTAATTTCTTGCCAATTCTGCCAATGTGGTCACACTTTGCCTTGGCAATAACTCTTTTGAAGGACCTGGAGGCCAAGTTATACTACTTTTTAAGCATGCTGGTGCTTACATCCCGAGCAGCCGAAGCATGAGCCCAGGTCTAATAACACTCCTGCTTACTGCGTAATGCAGTTTTATCGGAGCAACCAAACCAAGGCTGAGATCTTTGATAGGTACCACAGATGATGGAATAGATAGTTCCATTCCCTGTAGCATCACATCAGTGACAGAGTCAGCAACAGCGTTGGGATCATGAAGCTAATACAAAGGGGAGACGGCATAAGCAACTGTGCACTGTGATTCTAAGTAGGTCCTGACGTCATCATAGTGGGCGTGGCTTTAGTTAGTATACTGTCAGCATTCGTCCTGTGCGCTTATGTGTTGAAAAAATCACAAATCGGTGTATTTTCGTAGTATTAAGAAGAAAAGGATGAAGTGTTGTGTTTTATTGTGTAAGAACTACTCAGATAGACGTTCTGATGTTATGGATGGCATCATATTTCATTTGTAAATATTTTTACACCTAATTTATTAAAATACTTCTAGAAAAGTCTCTGCGTCGGCTTTCAAATATAATTAAATATATTCGACACTAGATGGCGACACTTTGTGTCATGTGAACTAAAAATGTAAAGGTAAAGCTCAGTATTGGTAAAATAATCATACGAAGGTGCTGAAATTTGTTTTGCATTCAGACATAAAGAAATTTTAATCGCAAAATATCATTTTTATAGTTTATAATCATTTTGAGAACAGGCCGTATTCTCGTCAAGTAAACCTCATAAAAATGACAAAAAGACAGGGCCCTAATTAAAATTCAATTATTTTTCCCAGTAATCCAACTTTTAATATTAAATGCAGGCAATTGTACTTAGGCTGATTTTTACGAAATGTTTAAGTTATATTTAAGTGCCATTCTATATGCAAAGAATCACTTAAATACAATTTAATGTTCTTAGATTGGCATTCAAAAAGTGCATTGGGATGCCTAATTTGGAATAAAATATTTATATTTTAATTGATTTGTAAATAAAATTATATTAATTATAATAATTTGTCTATTATTTGTTCTCCCTCAGAGATATTAAGTAGTATAACCCACACATAAATAATAATCCAGCCGTTTCTGCGTGAAAAAATTACACATACTTAGTGTGGAATAAGCTCAAGGAGACAGAAAGAGCACACAAAATTTCGCCTTTATAATATTAGTGAGATAAGTAGGATATTTAGTTCCAAATTAAATATCCTACTTAATATTGAACATAGAATATTTAGTTTCAAAGAGACTTTATTTTATGGATAAAATAAATATTTCTTGATTGACTTTCACGAAATGATAAACATATTTAAAATTGTATTTAAGTGATTCTTTGCATATAGAATGTCACTTAAATATAACTTAAACATTTCGTAAAAATCAGCCAAGTACAATTTCCTTCATTTTAATATTGAATGTTGGGTTACTGGGTAAAATAATTGAATTCTAATTGCGGCCCTGTCTTTTTGTTATTTTTTATGAGGTTTACTTGACGATAGATGGTGGCCTGTTCCCAAGATTATTATGAAAACTATGAAAATATTATTTAGGCGATTAAAATTTCTTTGTCTGAATGTATTTGCTTCATAAGATAGACGCTCCGATGCTATGGATGGCATCACATTTCATTTGTAAGTAATTTACACCTAATTTATTAAAATAGTTCTAGAAAAATCTCTTTGCGTCGGCTTTCAAATATAATTAAATATATTCCACACTAGATGGCGACACTTATGTGTCTTGTGAACTAAAAATATAAAGGTACGTAGAGCTCAGTAATGATAAAATAATCATACGAAGGTGCTGAAATTTCTTTGCATTCAGACATAAAGAAATTTTAATCGCCAAAGTGTTATTTTTAAAGTTTATAACATTTTGAGGACATGCCGCCATCTACCGTCAAGGTAGCTAAGCTACATTGCAACATCGATATGGAAAGATTCGAGTAGTTTTACTATTTATCGGTAGATGTAGATAGTGTAGTGGGCGGGGCTTTGCATCCCCTCACCCCGCAAATTGTCACGCTTTGTTACATAGTGAAATTTAATTACAACGTCTCCTCTTTGTATTTGCTTCATGGTTGGGATAATCCAGCGAGAAGCAAACCAGGATGGGTATAATGCAAAAAAAGACCGCATTTCGTCCCAATCTGGCGATCTATAATGCCAAACACGACGACAGCGTGCAGAACGCAACCGGAAAGGGAGCTGGAGTGGCACTACACTCCAAATCAGACAATGGTCCCAAGAGCCAAGAGGCTCAACGAAGGACACCTGACATCCGTCCAAATGAGAGGTCAGCAGAAGGTCCAACATTGAAGGTGCATGATCCTCCACTTCTGGAAGCCACGTAGGCGAAGTAAACAGCTGTGTAATGCCAAATCAAAGTCATAAACAGATCTCCTCGCATGATCGGTTAAACGTGAACTGAGCCATTCAGCACAGTGGGTTTTAAAATCGCCAAGTATCACGATCTCAGCAGATGGGATCTGGGTCTTATCCTTCAAATCAAAAATACAACAGAGAAGTACATCCTGATAATACTGCTTGGTGAGATTTCTCTCATAAGATATAGATTATAAGAGATTAATTAAGAGAACTTCTTTCAATAATTTAATGAAGAATTTTTGAAACAAATAAAGAGGTGTAGATTAACTTTATCTTTACCAGGACACCCATCATTTTTCCAGCTATTCCAATGCTCTTCCCTGCGTAATATGCTTTTGACGCATTCTGCAAAACGTTTTCCATCTGGAGGTGTTTCACCCAACAAACGGTAAACTAATGCTGTTGTCTCTTTAACCCACTCAGTTTGATCTGATTTAAGTTCTTGGGACTCCCTGTAACAAAAGAATTTTGCCTTTTATCTATAAATAATACATGAGGTATCAAAATATCCTTAACTTTGTTCAGTGGTATTAAACAATTGACAATCTCACCTCATCACCAATATTATACTGATATATCTAAAATAAATTTTATGAACTCAAAGAGGTTAATCAAACCCGCAATGGACAGCATCAACAAAGGTCTGAAACATCTGGCACTGTGGTTGCCAGTCCACCTGCCAAGCTTGACAATTAACACAACTCCCCCCTACAATGAAGCCCTTTTTCAACAGTGGACTTTTACAGGCCAATAAATATATAAAAGACATTTTCTTGACAAGGGGTACGGACACTGAAGTAATATGTATTACTTATTAGAAGAAGCGCCGAGACTTGTTTGTTTGCAAGACTCAAACTTACTTAGTCTATGTCATAGAAAGGTAGTCTGTGCCTTCAACCACATGTCCCGCACTGCCTCTTAATGTCTGTTCTAGTACTTAGTATATATTACTTCAGTGTCCATATCTATACATAAAAATAAAATTGAAGTGTCTCTCTGTAATATCGAAGTAACTATTTTATTTAGCTAAGCGGATTATATGGAGACCATTAAGACATGAATAATCACATTTAAATTTTTTGTCTGTCTATCTGAGCTAATCTTTGGAATGGCTGGAACCTATTGTAATGAAACTAACACTCATAGAGAGCAATGCTAGGGGTGATCTAGGCTGTATATTGTCTAAAAAAACTAGATTTTTTTTTTAAATCCAAAAATTGTTAAAATAAATGTTTTTGATGATTATCTTTAATCTAAATAATGTTACATTAATATATAATACTAAGGCGAAGCTGGGGTGGTTGCCAGTAGTAAAATAAAACTTGATAAATGGTACAAACACTCACATTTTAAACTTAACAGCTGATGTTAAATATTGAAACAATATCAAAAATTGTATGAGGACACATCTTCTAAAGTTAGAATCTGATAATTGCAATTCAAGGAGTTTCTGATTGGTTAGGAACTTGGCAAAGTAGTGCTGCTCCTTATTGGATTCTTGCATATCAACATCAGTATTGACAGGCTTCAGTCTATTTAGGTTAGACTTCTGTAGTTCGACAGCTTCTAATTTGTATGATGAGAATGCTGAGAGTACACTACCTGAATGCTAAAATATTAATAAAATGAATATTATAATTTTATTGGTATATTATTTAGTAACATACAAAGAACATCGGTCAAATATGACCTGACCAAAATATGAAACGACTACCAATAATTGATACGTCAAAAAATAGTGCCTTTAATGAAAAACCTTATTTTCTTACTACTTCTTATAGGTTTTGAACGCATCTACACCCGTTCCGTTTTAATTTGTGGTACACGTTTCATCATAACACTAAAGTAACACTACCATTATGCGTTTACTTTTTTTAAATACTAGATTTTATTGTAATTTTTTTATTTATATATAATAGCATTTTTAGATGGAAAATATTCAGAAATTAGTTGCAAATGATAGGTTGACAGTAAATATAGAATGCACTAATACTTAGAACGGAACATATTATGAGTATCTCTATGCAGTCCGTGGTATTATGACAGGAGAGCTGTCAAAGCGTGAAAAGTAAATGCACCTGTGTCTTAGATTTTTAACAGTGAAAAGATTAGAATGGTTATTGATTTATTTTTGTGGTTTTAGCCATTAACTTGACTTATTTAGTTTAGTATATATTATTGCATAGTTTTCATATAAAATTGTTTTAGCTGAGGTTGTAGTCATATCTGCAGTCATGACTACATTGTAACCTCAAAAGTGACAAAATACATAAGTGTAATGTTCTATGATCCTCAGCTTTTAAATAATATATTTTCAATTTAGGGTTTAAATTGTGCCCAGGGGGACAGATTAATCCATACACTAGTCATGTTCACGATATTTTATAGCCAGGTCACAGCATGTATGGGCCGTGACCGATGTTCTTTGGATGGATTTAAGATAATCCATCATTTATGAATTAAAATGCAGATGCGTTGTCAGCCGTGAGGACTAAGATAGAATGCCTCTTTTCCAGTAAAATAGGTCTCCGGTTCTCTACACTCACCATACGAAACACAGCGGCATTAAGTTGCTATTTTACGCTGGTATTCTGTGAGAGTGTGGTCCTACCCCAGTGTAGCCGACCCATTCGTGCTACAACTATAATACTAATATAATAAGATAATCTTCTCCCCCATATTATCTTGTGGGTGTCGTATGAGGGAAAGAGGGAAATGAAACAGGAGATCAACATCTTCCTAATTGAAATACTCAAAATAATAAAAACTATGGTTGCCAACCAGCAGCAGAGTGACAATCTATGAGGCCTATGTTCAGCAGTGGACTTTTGTTGCACTGTAAAGATGATAATAATTATGTATTTAGTCAATTTTGAGAATTCATATTAATGAAAAATGAGCATAACATTCCTCATATATTTTTCATTTGAAAGGATGTCAATTTGAAAGTAGATGAACACACCAACTAAATCCCTTCTGGCACCACAGAAAGCTTTAACTGAAATTTAAAGTGGTACTAGTTTATCACATACTTGATGTTGAAGGAAAACTAAAGAAACCGACATGTCTGAAAAATTAAAAATCATTGTAAGAACATATGAAATTTGCCTTTATGTGCCACCACGGACTTGTTCCTTTTTACTTTACATTGTTAACAGAGTATTTAAGTTCTAAAATAACAAAAGGAAAATAATTTTGAAAAAAGTGCCTATAATTGGTATGTATTTTTGTTTTTGTTTACTCTTTTAATAAATCAATGTTTAAGATTAAAAATAATTAACTTACAGCTACAAAAGTCTTCCACTGAATTTTATTGTAACAGGTGTTCGGGTTTCTGAAGAAGTCTTGTAGACTCCAAAAACGGCAATATAAGTTATAATCTATAGACAACTTAGTTTTTTCACCTTCAGCTACCATTTCTTCATCTAGGGAATCTTTCAAAGTACTTGAATTATCTCCTCCAAATTCTGTGATATTTTCTAAATTAAATTCAGACACAATATTTAGCCCCGATCTCTCTGAGAATGGAAAGAACTTTGCTAAAAATAAAAGAATTCTTCCACAAAATACAGTATTTTGTGAACGTGATAAACGTCGTAATAAATCGTTGCACATTCTAAGCAAGTTGTTTTTGCATGCAACGAAAAATAACTCTTCTTTCCATATGTTCACCCCATTCTCTACATACGCAAACATTTTTTCACATTTATTCAATGTTAAGGCATCGAATATATCCCCTAGAAGTACGACTGGCATGGTGGGTGTTACCATATGCCTTCTACACGATTCAATGCAAAAACAAACGTAGTTTTCTAGGATGTCTGGATTCTCGACGAGTAGCTCCAAAAGTTTATCTCGAAACGCTTGATCCATAGCAGCTTTCCGATCGGCCTCATTAGTATTTCTTGAGAAGGAATCTAAGAGGTCAATATTGTTTGTAGCGAATGCTTTAGACAATACATCCTGGAAATAAAAAGTGCATGTAATATAAATCAATGATTAGCATAAAAATAATAAACAAGTAGAAAGAGGTTAGAAAAAAACCTTATATTTTAACCGGAGCTCCTCGAAACCTAATTTTTCTGTCATACTTCAAGTTTTTATAATATTATTTAATTCTTTGTTAGCACTATAGAAATACTACGCGTACACAAACTATATAGAAATAGAAACACTAGGTACTAAACAATAAACATTTTTTTTTTTAATTTATTCGTGACCATGGTTGCGAGGACCTTCAGTCGGAAACATTACAGTATAACACAAATCATACATCAAATTAAGAATATTTAACTTTAGCAATAACAATTTAGAATGGTTTTCCATCATTTTTCTACTTTTTTCCCTATTATATAAATATAGAACAGACTAAATTACAAAATAAGCTAAGAAGCTATTTACAAACATTATCAATTAATTAAGGACACATAAATAATTAAAGTTTTCCTACAGTATTAAGTATAAATTTAAATAGAGGCATGAAAAAAGCTACATCAGTTAATAGATCCTGGACGCGGCGGGGAACACTTATAGAATTTTCTTCAGCGACATCACTAATTTCACTGACAAGTGTCAATCTTTGAATCCCAAACGATGGGCACTGGAAAATTATGTGGTTTATGTCTGCATTATGTTGAGCGCAATGTGTGCATTTGTCATCAGCTACGATCTTCATTCTGTACAGATGTGCAGGGACGAGGCAATGTCCAAACCGCAAGCGGTTAATGGTCGTTATGAACTTTCGGCCTGTGTATTTAAAGCGGTTGTACCACGGAATCGTTGGTAAGTCTGGCTGTAATTCTGCGTACCATTTTCCCTTATTCACGGTAGTAATGTTCCAGTAATCCTTCCACAGTTTCTTTGACAAGATTTTAAAGTGTTGATAATAATCTGTGAAGGGGACTTTACAATCTTGTGTTTGGTCTTCGTGGTGATCTTGCCGCGTCGCCTGATCCACTATCTCATTTCCGACTATGCCACTGTGTGAGGGAACCCATAAGAATTCTATACATTTTCCAATCGTTTGCAGCTTATCCTTAATTTTATACAAAATATAATTCTGTTTATATACTAAATTACAGTTACATAAAGCAGATAAAACACTTTTAGAATCACTAACTATCAAGATATTTACACTATTTACATTGGTATTTACATACGACAAAGCAGCTAATATAGCCCAACTTTCTGCTGTAAAAATACTACAATTACTTGGCAACTTAATACATTTAATAACTTTCATTTGTGGGTCATAAAATGCTGCTTTAACAAGATCACTCTTGGAGCCATCAGTATATATAGTGTAAAAGTCTTTCTTTTCATTTAAAAATTCTAAGAATTCATTCTTAGTACTAACCGAATTTAAATGACATTTTATATCAAGATAATTAAGTAATGTATCATATGGGCATTTGTAAATAGGCCACTTGTTACTGATGTACATATCTCTTGTCTGATTCTTTACACAAGTTGTTATTGTTGTTATTTCAGGCAATGTACCCGAAATAAGAGTATTAGCCGAGATGTTGGCTGTTCCATTTAACTGGGAGACTTCTGCAGGATATAAAATATTACTCAGGACAATATCATTGCTACAAGACAACTCCTTCAAACAGAATCTTTCAGCCAACTGCAAACAACGCAAGGACAATGGAGGTATGCAATTTTCAACTTCCATAGAAACAATAGGAGTGGTGCGCATGGCTCCACTGATTATTCTCAGACCCATATTCTGTATCACATCCAATTTTCTTAACAATGTGCTACTAATATTCATGTAAGCTAGAGAGCTATAGTCAAAGTGACTCCTTACAATACTTTTATACAGCATGCTAAGTGTTTTTGGATCAGACCCCCAAAAGGTTCCTGCTAAGCTTCTTAGTACATTTATGCTCTTCATGGCATTCTGACAGATATAGTTGATATGCTTATCAAATTTCAGTTTATCATCTAGCACAACTCCTAAAAATTTATGATGATTGGCTATAGGAATTGTATCATTATTATAGTTAATTTTAATTCCAGAGTTTACAAATTTGTCTTTACTGAATACTAAAACTTTACTTTTCTCAGAACTTATTTCTAATTTTAAAATGTTGCTATAATAAAGATGCAATTGTGCCAATGCAGTATTAATTCTATTAATTGCTGTATTTATATTCTGGTTTTCACTGTATAAAAGTAAGTCGTCTGCAAACTGTAATATTTTAACTTGTGATGTATCTACATAATTAAGTATCTGAGATGTGTATAAATTATATAACAAAGGTGAAAGTGTCGCTCCCTGCATTGTTCCTTTGTTAACAGGCCTAGGTCCATGTAGTTTATTGTTAAATTTAACAAAAAGAGTCCTATCATGCAAGAAATTTAAAATCCAGATTAATACATTTCTTGGCAAGCCCAATTCATGCAAAACTTTTATGAGGCATTCAATATTAACATTGTCAAAGGCACCTTTAACATCTAAAAATACACATATAACATTAGAATGACTAAGTTTGGCCTTTTTAAGTTCCGATATCAGAGATACAAAGCTTTCAGAGCAACTTCTGCCTTTTCTGAATCCAAATTGTATGTGAGGTAGTTTATCCTGTGTTTCAGCAAAATAATCTAGACGCAACTTTAACATGTTTTCAAAAAGCTTACCTAAACATGATGATAAAGAAATAGGTCTGTATGATGATGGATCATTAGCAGCTTTATTTGGCTTTAAAATGGGGATTACACATTGGGTTTTCCATGACTCTGGTATAGCTAAATTATTCCAAAGTTTATTATAAATATTTAATAACATTTCTTGCGCATTAGGATGTAATTTTTTTATTAACATATATGGTATGCCGTCCAACCCTGGTGTTGTATCTTTCCTACTTTTGAGCGCTATGTACAATTCATTTAGTGTGAATGGTCTATTGAGAAATGAGTTACTTTCATTTTCAACAGATTGATCTAAAATATCATTCAAATAATCTTCATTTAACTGTGATGAGTCTGTTATGTTGTCTAAGAAGCTTGGTATCCAATCGTCAGCCAAATATCTGTTATGAGAAGAACCTATCCTTCTAAACCTTTTCATGTAGTTCCATATTCGAGAAATAGGTGTCATTCTATTAAAACTAGTACATAAATTGTGCCATGAATTAATACTTTCTTCTTTTAATATCCTTTTCTTTTGAGCATCAAGTTTTTTGTAGTTAATGAAATTAGGAATACTAGGCGATTTTCTATACTCTTTGAGGGCCTCCTTAGACTTTCGAACAGCATCATCACATGTTTGGTTCCACCAGGGTGCAGGTTTTCTCATTACCCTTAAAGTTTGTTGTGGTGTTTGCTTTGGAACAGTCTCTGCTCTAATATCATACAAAATATTTACAAAATTATTATACAAATCAATAGGTTCGGTACCATGTATTTCTAAATTACAAAATCTCGTTTCTGATAGTTCTTGATATTTAGACCAATCTGCTTTATTATAAATGTATTTTTCTTCCGCAGGACGCACTTCATATACAGAAGGCTTCACATTTAGAGCGACCACAGTTGGGTAGTGGTAACTGCCCATCGGGTCGTCATGGACGTGCCATTCACAAAGAGGAGCTAATGCGGAACTAACCAGAGCTAAATCTATTGCCGACTGATTTCTGTTAGGATACTGGACAGTTGTAGCTATGTCACCATCATTCAGAATACACAAGTCAAAGTCATCAATAAGTGCATATAAACTGTTACCTCTATTATTATTTGTCTGACATCCAAACAGGATATGGTGAGCATTAAAATCTCCCATAATAAGACATGGCTTAGGAGTTTCAAGTAGCACCTTTTTCATTTTGCTTGTAGCAGACCTGCTGCTATTGGGAGGACAATATACACATAGAATATGTAACTTACCCATAGTTGTGTCTACGGAAATGCAAATATTTTGCACAGATTCGAAAAAAGTTGTATTTACAATAGTGTATTTTAAGTTTTGTTTAATTAATATACCTACTCCGTTATGTTCATTTATTGAGTTTTTGTGTATAAAATTATAGGGTGAAAAATCGGGAATTGTACTAGTTGTTTTAAGCCAGGTTTCATTTAAGAGACAGATATCTATATGTTGTTCCGAAAGAAATTTTTTAAGTAAGGCCCTTTTGCTCTGTAAGCTCTGTATGTTATATTGTGCTATATTCAAATATGTATCCATTATATGATTAAATTACTTAAAAGTATGTCTTTAATTCTTTTATTTGTAATCGGAGCGCTGCTCTTGTCATTGCCAAGCATAACTAATGATTTGACTAGCGCATTAATAATTAACTCGTTGTTTAGTATTTGCTCAGCATTATATGATACTTTATTTATGTCAGTATCAACAGTCTTTACAGGTTTAAGGTTTGGGAATGCTTTCGGGTCGGGCATTGCTGGGATACTCACCACAGTGGCATACGATCGGTTTGGTTTTAAATACTTATTCTTCTTCTCTTCCATCTTTTGTTGCTTCACTGGACAGTTCCTAGAGATGGCCAAGTGATCACCATGACAGTTGATGCACACAATTTCTTCGACGTCGCATTCTTTGTAGGAGTGTTGTCCAGAGCACGAAGAACACCTTTGAGAACCTCGGCAGACTTTTGCAGAGTGATTAAACTTCAGGCATTTGTAGCACTGTAGTAACGGAGGTATGTATATGTGGACCGGGTATCTGAACATCTGTATGTAGGCGTGCTGTGGCAGCGCTGTTGCAGCGAAGGTCACTGCAATGGTCCCCAGCGGAGTGAGCTTTCCATCTACCTTTCGCATAAATCTCTTGACGGAGATGACTTCTGCATCGCAGGTAATGCTTTTGTATATGTCTTCATTGCTTAAGTCTTTAGGTACGTATCTTATGACTCCAGTAATTTCAGTGAGGTGCGCCGGCACAAACGCTTTCAATTTGTGTTTTCCTAGAAAGTGTGTCATGGTAAGGAAGTTATTGGCCGGTGCTGGTTTTCTGAACGTTATGCCCACTTTATATGCGTTCACTCTGTGGACGCCAGCGATTCCTTTTACATTTTCCGTAAATAACTTTGTAAGTGCTATTGGATTTTTGTTACCGATTTTTTCGT